ACACGGATTTTTTTTTTCTCGAATCCCTCGACTCGACTTTTCTTTATCAATTCTTCTCCTGTAGATATAGCTCAACACTAATGGTATATATTTGCAACAGGATGTCGTAAGTTCGAACTCACTCTCACATATTGTATTAAAAAATATATATGGCAATACTATCGCTCTGATTGGATCAGTATCACTGATTTTTCTTGCTGTACTCAAATCAACTTTTTTATTGCTTTTTTTTCCTCTCGATATCACTCAATACACAAATCAACTTTTTCTTATCGATTTTTTCTTTTTTTTATCGATTGTTTTCCGCACAATCTAGCTTCGATGAAAGTTCTTACAAAACATTATACTTTAGTAAATCAAATAATTTCATTTTAATCATGCTTTTAATATGAGAATGAGAAGATGCGTTATTTAATAGCCTAAGAACATATGTGTTACTCATTAGTAACACCAATTAATCAATTAGAATTGTCGATTAAATGTAACAAACAATATGAGTATTTAAGTTTGGGTCTACGTGGGTGAATAGCACACATGAATATATCTTCATTCCCGAAGGAATGTCAAACCACACCCAAAATGTCTTTCAGGCAAAACAAATTCATCAATTTCAATTTAGGCTACTGCACCAAATAAGCAAAACATTCTCAAAACAAAAATCACATATATCGAATTAATCATAATACTTTTCAAAAATATCAATTTAGGCTACTACCCAATTCCAAGAAACATGTTCACATTTTAAAGAATGTCTTTCAGCCTATGCAAAGCTCGAGCAACATTATAGAAATACATGATTGGCTGTATTTCCGGATTTAGTCGAATCTGTCGTAGAAATCTGCATGGATGATTTTGCCATATTCAAAAGACAACATGTCTATTGAATTTGAAGAGGGTACTTCAATGATGTGAAGAAATAAACTTGGTACTGAACTGAGAGAAACGTCACTTTATGGTCAAAGAAGGAATTGAAATGGGGTATTGGGTCTCAAAGAAGGGATTGAAGCGGACGAGACAAAAATAGAAGTTGTAGAGAAGCTGCCACCTCAATCTATAGTGAAAGAGATACAAGTTTTCCTAGACACGTCGGGTTTTAAAGAAGATCGTAAAGGACTTCTTGAAAATTTCTAAACCTCTTTTGGATCGTTTGTTTCATGGGAATCCAAGATTCTTGTGAGATGGGCATCTAGATTCCCACGTTTGTTTTAGGGTGATGTAAGATATCCAGGTATCTCGGGATGCCCATACGGAAAACATCCGAGTCGATTTGGATGCCCCTTTTGAAACATGGGTTTCCATAATTTCCATGGGAGGGCATCCTATATTGACATTTTTGCCTTGTTTCATATATTTTCTTTTATCAAATTTCTTTAGTTTTGTTTGTAATTTTATAATTTAAATAATTAATGTACAATTTGACTAATAAGCAATTAAGTATATTTATGTATTACACGTACGTATAAAATAAATTTCAATTAAATTATAAAATATCTCCATTTACTTTTAATATTTGGAATGACTTATTATTAATAATATCTATTTATCTTAAATACATATCTTTAAAACAACATTTTTTTAACAATCAACCTACCTTTGATATTCTTCTTCTTAAAAGAATATAATTTATAATATAATAAATGAATTTCACCAAATATAACATTAATTATATTATTGTATTTTTTTAAATATTAATTTTTAATTTGGTAACATAATAAATGAATTTCATCAAATATAACATTAATTATATAATTGTATTTTGTAAAAATATTAAAGTTGAAAATTAAATTTATATTCAATATTAATTATTTTTAAAAAAGTCTTATATTAATATGAATTCTACTCATGTACAAAAATTAATACATATACGTCATTAATATAAAAAAACCTAAAATATTAAATTAATTTTAAGAAAATCTATAATATAAATGTAAATTATATTAGATTAAGGTATAAATTATATAAATATTCATAAGGGGATTTTTGGAACATTACATAAATTTAGAACATTCTCATCGATAAATTTGTAAAACAAACGTGGTTATCCAAATATTTCCGAACATCCTTATATATTTTCCTACGAAACAAATATGATCATCTGAAGATGCGGACATCTATAATTCCAGACATATGAAATTTCAAGCATCTACATTCTCAATAAACAAACACTTCCTTTGTTTTTTACTTGAACGTGATATCATATTTGATTTTTCTTATGATTGTCTGCATGCATTTCAAACACTAAAGAATGCATTGATAAATGCTCCTATTGTTATAGTACTAGATTGGACAAAGACCTTTTGAGCTAATGTGCCACACAAGTGAATACGAGCAATATTGGAGCAAAAAAAGAAAAGTTGGCAGGCTATCCAACAGGAGGTTATTCATGTTGCCCCAAAGATCAGGTTGTCGAGCAGTCAAGAGTTTGTCACACCTTCGTCTCAGTGATATATTCTAGAGTGGGTTTTGCGGCTAAGTACGAAAGTCAAACCCCCCTTTAGGTGGTCTTCAGGTATACCTGATCTTCCGACCTTTATCCATTCTCCACTAGACAAGATTATTTTCCTATCCCACCATTGTGAATTACGCTTGAATATAGTTGTTTTGTTTTCTTAGCTTGAACATAGTACATTTGTTTAACATTGTGATAACCTCCCACCATATAAGATACTTATAATAATCTCTTTGTTGAAAAGTAGGAAGTTTACGCCCTTTGTTCCATGCAAACAAAAGAAAAATCATAGTATTTTATAAATTCATCATTTTTCGGATTACATATTAATAGGAGGGGAGATATATATGCTAGTCATGTGAATTTGTCCAGCATTTATAATGTTAATAAAATAAATAAGTACAATAAGTAATCAAAATATACTTTTTGGTAAACAAAATGTACTTCTCTATTAAAAAAATATAGATATACTAAACTAAACTTGGGCAAGCAAACAAATATTACGTTCATAATTTCATAAATAATGGTTCTGAGATGGATCCATAATTCATAATAACTTTTTACTTTGTAAATACACGAAGATAGGTTTCAACCACCTCCTACATATTTAATCCTTTGTGCTGCAAAAAAAAAAATATATATATATATATTTGAAATATCTACGGCATTTGTAATACCATCAATTAACAATCTATCAAAACTCTTAATGAAGAATCAAGGATATTTATATATTTATAAAAAGCATCCATGCAATCGCGATTATATGATAATTATATATTATATTTATAATTTTGGAAAAAATGAGTACGAACTTTTATTCTCCACAAGTTTTTTCTGTAAGAACTTGAGAGCTAAAACTATTTTATGGTAACAAAATTTTTTTGGTATCATCTACCCAAAGCTTTATTCTACAATTGATTGTCTTGATCAATTTTTGGCATTAAATAGTAACTCAAGCTGTTGGTGGCGAAGCAATTGGAGCGACGGAAGAACAAGCAGGCGGATTTTGTTTTCCAGAAATGATGGGTTTCACATTTGAACATTGTGACGTAATAGGTCCTTCGCTTCCATTGTAAGTAAGATCAATATCAGCTATTTCTACACCTTCACATGGAAAATCGGAACTACAAATGATTTTGACTGCAAGCGCATTAGCTGAGGAGCCTCTAATATTCTTGAAGCTAACCTTGCTAATCTTGACTTTCGATGGAATCTGACAAACAACAAATAGAACATGCATGATTTCTTGAGATTTATGTTAATAGAACTAATAGTAATAATAAATTGAAATTGAAATAAAAGTCACGACGTTCATACCTTTTTATTACATTGGTTGTATGGACAATATTCTTGATCTATGAGAATGGGATTGCTGACATTAACCATTATTATATCTTCATAATGCATATTGGTAGCTGTGCCAGGAGTAGGAGAAGCGGGCCATGTTTTAATTCTGACACCATTGTCTGTATTTGTAAATGTACAATTCTTAACAATGATTCCCTCAACTGGTTCTTCAACGGTATATCTTCCAAGACTTCCTACGCTAATACCATGTCCTGGCCCACATGTCACGTTATTAATGGTTACATGTTTGCTTCCATCTCCAAGTGAGATACAATCATCACCAGTACCAATGCGCGTACTCAGGACATTAACCTCATTCGAACGACCAATGTGAATTCCATCAGTATTAATACTATGTCCTGGTGCATCTATAGTCACGTGTTCAAAGGTAAGGTTGTTGCAACCCAGTACAAATACATGAAAGTTCTTGCTATCTTTGGATGTAATTTCACTCACTATTGAATTTGTGATAAAGCTGAACTTCAAACTCTGCACATTTTCAACAAACAAAAATACTCATACATAGGGTAATGTCTAAGAAAAAAGTAAAAATGTGTAAGTTAATAGTCTGGTATTTAAAATTATATCAATTTGGATCATACATTAACTAACATTTGGACTAAAAAAAGATCATGGTATTGAAATCACTAAAGCCCCGTTTGAAAACGTTCACGGTTCTTGTTTTTATATTTTCTCTTTTTTAGTAAAGACAAATAAAATTGCACGACCCRCAATATTCATGAATTCAAGAATGATAAAACAAGATATTTATCTATGTCGTATAAATTAGAAATAGAAACAAGAAGCAACAAGAAAATAGTTTTTGTTGTTAATTTTCAAATTTTATATACAATTTTAAGAATGTTTTTAAAAATGGAGAAATAAGAAATATAAATAATTGTCAAATGTTTAGATTTCTTAATACAATTACAAACAAATAACAAAAATATAAACGTTATCAAATCGAGAGCCTAATTTGATCAGTGGAGTTGTCTTACCATGGGAAATTGGGCACAATTGGGATTTTGGCCACAATCATTTTTTTCCCAAGCTAATTTTCCTTGTCCATCAAAAACTCCGCCACCTGTTAATGAAAAGTGGTCGATGTATTTGAAATTAACCCAACCTTCTCCCGTTGGATCTATTGGAGCCTGCAAAGTTCCTTGGAATTCAATTCCAATAGGGCTCTTGCAAGGGCCTACCAAATCAACTCCAGTTAATTGGTAACTTGCTTTCGGAATAATTACTTTACTTTGAGTAGTCGATGCACAAGCCTCCTTCCATGCCTTTAGCAAGGCCTATATATAGTTCGAAACATTATTAAAACTTATTTCTCAAATTTATTTTCTTTCATTTCAAATATCTATATTAAAACATTATGTTATTACCTGAGATATATCAGTACCAGGCTTAGCACCATACTTTGTCACATCAAAAACACCATCAGTAGATTGAGCTTTTCCTCTAGATACAAATAACAATACAAAGGATAGAGCCACCAAATTCAACTCGATGCTCATCTCGTTCTTCATCGACTTCTTCTTCTTCTTCTTTTTTTTCTTTTTCTTTTTTTTTCTCTTTTTTTGGTGTTTTTTTGAAAGATGCTTGAATGTTCTAATTACATTATAGAGTATTTATATAGAAAGGGAGAAATTTGATACCATTCAAATTTGTCTATTATTAGCTTTCTATTTTGCTCCAATTATGCATAACTAATTGTGCCACTTATCAACATCTATAGTGATCTATTGGTGTTTAAAAGAAACCATTTTCCTGTGGTTTCACCTCAAAAAAGTTCACTCCTTAACTTTCTCTTCGGAGTGAAAATAGCATTGTTGAATCAAACTCAACACAAACAAGTGGTAAATAAAAGTAGGAAGGAGAAATGTAAGGGTGGCATGAAATATCAAAGTGAAAGGAGAATTGTAAAGCTTTTATGGAATATGAAGTCACTTACTAATGCGATTGATCCTTCCCTTCAACCTTACTTATGTACCCAATTTTTCACTTAGTTTAAACTACTTAAAGAAATTTAGAATATTACAAGATAAGTGTCAAAATTGGGTATGATATAGTACTTGAGATATGACACCTAAGTGTAGAGGCACAAGAACGGCAGATAAGATAAGTCACAAAATTATATATAATAGGACTTATAGTGTGATGCTCGAATGTAGGGGCATGTGAAGGAAACGACATTGCATATGAATTAGAGGATCTTAAGACTATGAAATCATGGTTAATAATGATGTACTTTTTTTTTACGGCTTATTTATAAGATTTTCAAAACTAACCATATTTCCCTAAAGCAATCTTATCTTGCACGAATTCCAATAAATCACGCTAAAAGGACTTATGTTGGTCCTTAAAAATAGTCATTCAATTATAGAAAGCATGTAGCACAAGTCAAGAAAGTAGTGTGTCTAGGTCGCGACATTGCTTAGAAAAATTTCAAACGTAGTTGTTATGCTCCCCATTTGGCTAGATTTTTTCTTTTTAAATAAAGTTTGATTAGATTATTTGAACAAGATGAAACACCTTGATTTATATTAAGAAAATAAAAGATTTGATTGGGTCCGATTCGATTCACTAATTAAAGAAGTAATACAATTAAAGCAAACTGATTTATATATAAATATATCTTACCATGCCAAGTAATAATTCTACAAGCTTTTCATGAACCTAAAGATCTCTGTCGCCACGACAAGTAATAATTCTAGGGATTCGAATCGGACCTTATTGCTTGTTATTGCTTGTCCTGCCCTTTGTCGATGGAGACAGCCTCGCACGCTCTTTTCCTTTGCAAACGAGCTCGGTCAATTTGACGGCGTCTGTTTCCCTCGGTGAATATCCCCTCTAACCACAACCTGCAATTTAGAGAAATCTGGACAGAAATCATTGATATTCTTGACTGAGAACAAGAATCTTGCCGCCATTACCTACTGGGCGATATGGAACGATCGGAATCTTCATCTTCAATTTCGGCAGCTTCCACCGATTGAGGCAAAATGTGCTTGGATTACTGACTATGCCTCCTCGTTCTCCTCGACTCAAGCTCCGTTTCACCGCCCTAGTGGAGTTGAGCACACTGCTCGCGCCCAGAATCCCCGCTGGAACCCTCCCCCTCCAGGTTTCGTCTCTCTGAGCGTGGATGCGGCATGCAATAACAGAACTGGCCTCCTCCACCGGCGTTGGTATTATCTTCCGCGACTCAAATGGCTCCATTATCGCAGCTACCTCTGGGTGATGAACTGAACTGGATTTCAAAAGTTTGGAGCCTTCATCATCATTTTTATGATATTTCGTTCCACCATCTGCTCCGTTGTTGTAATAGGCCATCTCACTCATTGGCTAAATTTTACTTTACCAATTTGTCTTCTTCAACTTGATTCTCTAATTTTCCAGCTTGGCTTCGGGATGCTTCTTACTACTCAAATGTAGCCCACGTGGCCTGTTAGTCTCAATAATACGATCCTTTAAAAACGAAAAAATTGTATATCTTACCATGTCCTTACTTTAATTTTACAAGAAATCATCAGAGAATGATTATTGTTCAAGGGTTCAGTAGAATGTAATTTAGATAATTAATCTTCAAAATGTATTTCTTTAAACTATGTAAAGTTCAAAAAAAAAAAAATTTAGATTATGAAAAATTCAAATTAAAAAGTATATAAAAATAATAATAACTGAACCTCGATAATTTTATAAATTACATAGATGGAAAAAATATATTGCTACCACAATTTATAGAAAAAACATTTACATAATGACACCATTTCTCTCTTCTATCTATAAACTTCATAGCTGACATTTGCCGGACGTGCTGGTTCTTGGGCCAATTTTCCTTCGATTTTCCCTTCCGCAAAACCCTAGGGCACACCAAGCTGAGGGAACCAACTCTCACAATTACCCACCTGCCTTCCAATTTCTCCACTCCCTTCCAAATTCAGGTGATTCTCTTTGTTGCTTGCCTTGCTGCCTGCGTATTCGCTTCAATTTTTGAAAACCCTAGAATTTTCAATTTGGGGATTGGGATTACCCAATCATTTTAGGGTCTTCACCTCAGGGGTTTTTATCATTATATCATTCTGTTTTGTGCGTCTTATGCATTGTGATTGTGTGCATCGAGGCTAGTGTTGCAACCCTGTTGATTCATCATTAATATACATGGGCACCGAAATTTGCGTGTTCCATAGCAAATTCCTCCGAGTTTGTTCCAATGACAAGTTTATTGTTTCTGAACCTTCATTTTATCCGTCGTGAACACCCACGTTTGGAAATTTACAGGGCAATCAGTTGCAGTTGCCTTGCTTTAGCGGGCACTGTAGCTCATTTTCATATTTCACGTTGCTTGTGTAACTTACCTCTTATTAATACGTTTCATTTATTTATTTAATTTACTCGTTATCATTTATTTGGTGCTCAACTGCTGCTTGGTTGCTGAGTATTCCACCTTCCCCCAAATCATTCTGTGTCCGTGCATGCTCAGTACTGATATGTATTTCTACCTTTAGCAATTTAAAGCAATGGTGCAGCGCTTAGAATAGCTCAGTTGTGTTTTGTTCGTTTGCAACGTGTGTTAGCTGTTAGAGGGCCAATATCTTAAGGTTTTACCTAGACTATATTTGGTAAAATCATGAGACACATTTTAAGTTGACAAGTTTCTTTGCTGCTTAAAGAAACAAAGTTGTGTCTCATGCATACATATGTTTGCTGGGGAATAGGTTTTGTATTCAACTTTTGGAGGATCAGTGGACTAGTTCTAATTTATTGAATTTGTTTTTTCATCGTCTTTAGAACCTCTTCTTTACTGCATGGTGAGAATCATATCGTTAAATAGAGGTGGGTTACTTCTAAGTGGCTTTTCAGGTTCTTTCACGAAGAAAACACTATTTTGAGAAGAGAACTATTCTCAGAAGTAATTATGATTTTGATGGGMTAGGTTGGGTATGTGAAATCTGAATGTTCAAAAAGGTGTCTAGACTTTTGGGTGTCCAAAACAAAATCCTTCTTGTAGAAAGTGTTTTTTTCAAGCTTGGAAACAACCACAAACTTGGATTTTAGGAAGATATTTGGCTTGACTGAAGCCCTGTGCGTAAGATGTTTTCACTAATATGTGTAACATTTCTAACACGAGAAGAGTTGGTTGAGATTGTTGGGATGCAAACGGTAAGGTATCTCCTTACAATCTTGATATTCAAAACAGGAACAAGTTGCCCTTAGGCATCCAGAGGGGGTGCCCAACCGTTAGAGAGGGTTGGGAGCTCTCCCACCAAAGCTAACCTTAGCTAAAGACAAAACACGCCTTTCCTAGCTAAGCACAAAAGTTTAAGTACCCCCCTTACAAAGGCCCTTGCCCAACTAACTAAGTAGAATTTACACCTTTACCCTTCCTTACATACTTATTTACAATTGGGGGTCTCACACGTAACCCTTCTAGGGTTTTTCCTATAGTTCTTTTTCCCATATTACAAGCTCTCCTTCCAGCCCCCTTCGGCCCCTTTGTTCGCCTCTCTTTGGAAGGGCAAAATTCCAAAAAAAATTAAATTCTTGGTGGCAGGTCTTACATGGAAAAGTCAATACCTTGGATCGTATTCAGAGGTGTTCTTCTTTCTTTTTGGGTCCACAGTGATGTGTTGTTCTCTACATAGGAGCCTCGGAGGATCTTGATCACATCAATTCACGCGTGGTTTATGGGATCGCTTTTTTGGGAGTTTTGGGGTGTCTTTGGCTTGTAACAGGGATTGTAGGGTGATTATAGAGGAGGTATTGTATCCCCCTTTTCGAGACAGGGAGATTTTTGTGGTAGGAATATTTCTTGGATACTCCGTGGGGCATTTGGTTTGAGAGAAACAATAGAATTTTAGGGGTGGAGAGATCCAAGGAGTTTGTTTTGGATCTTATTAGATTTAATACTTCTCTGTGGAGGTCGGTTTCTAAAGTCTTTTTGTTCTTATAGTTAGGTACTTAGGTATTTATCTTTCGGATTGGAGTCCCTTCCTTTAGGGGTCTCATCTTGTTGGGCTGTCTTTTTGTATGCTCTTATATATATATATATATATATATATTTTTTTTTTTTTTTTCATTTCTCTCAGACTCAGTGAAAGCTCGATTTCTTAAATTAAAAAAAAAACATAGATTTTTTTTAAACAAGAAACGAGGCTTTTCATTGATAAGATGGAAAAAAACAAATGGTCAAGGATACAATCTCCAGGAAATTGGAGAAAACTGAAAACTGAATGAAAAATTAACAATCAAACAAGAAAATGAATGATAGTTCTCCCAAATCATACAAATATCTAATAATGAAAACTTGATGTAAAAGACACGAGTCTTGAAAGCTTTCTTCAGGGTGGGACAGGATCAGAAATGATATCTAACATTGAGAACGTATCAAAGCTTCAAAAGATGCAACAAAATCGGACAAAAATATCCGAGAACCATCACGTAATACCATCTTCTCTGACTCGTTTTCAAGGGGAAGAAATGTCTAGTGATGATTTATGGGATCTTGTTTCTTCTCATGCCTCAACCGGAAAGTGCTCCAGTTACAGTGATTTTTGTATTTATGACTTTATTGAGATTCATGCCAATTTGAAATTCCTTTTGTAATTCCTTTGACATTTTGCATACCTCTCCTTCTTTTTACAACCCCTTTTTGAGCAATACACAATTTCGTTTCTTATAAAAAATATATATAGGAAATAAATTATATGTTTAGCCTATTATTTATATAGCAATCCTGAAAATGAAAGTGTGGCTTTTCCTATTTTTAGATGATACTTCTATGGACTTTTTTCCTGCGATTTTTTCTTCTTTACTGAAGGGAAAATATGGACATAGTGCATTGATTTTTTTACGACTTGAATTTACTCCAAATGTTAGTTCGTTGTGTAATCTTCATAACATACATCATTTTGTTGTTTTATATGATATAATATGACCTTTTCCATTTGATTGACAGGCTGAGGTGATGTGGTGCTAGTTATTTTTTAGTATCTATATCATGGATTTGACTAGTTTTATATTATGATCGGTGTTGAAATTGTGCAATATAACTTTTGGAAACTTGATTGAACTTGTTCTTTTTTTCCCCCTGCAAAGGAGCTTCGTTTCTTCTGTCCTCAAGTATTCCATACATGGATGTACACTCCACCCCCACCAACCCTCTCCCACTGGCAATTAACCATCGAAACCCTAGGAAACCCGTACTCCTTCAGGAACAACAACCAAGCCCTTCCAAAGCCGACTCTCCCGCTTCTTCAAATGGTAAGCTCATGGAGAGAAGGCCCCATGGAGGACGCATGGATGTGGCAAAGCTGAAGGCAAGTGAAGCAAGTGAGCGGAAGGAGGAGGTGAACAGGAAGATAGCTTCTCAAAAAGCCATTTCGGTGATTTTGCGCAGAGAAGCCACCAAGGCTGTCATTGAGAAGAAGAGAGGTCCCACTAATTCTAAGAAACTGCTTCCGCAGACTGTGCTTGAGGCTCTCCATGAACGAGTCTCAGCCTTGCGATGGGAGTCTGCGCTCAAGGTCAGTTATATCTAGTTTTAAGCTGCCTCTGACATTGATTTTGGATTTTATAATCAATCATCTTTTGGTTAGACATTCTTGGAAGAAGAAGGTGAATTATTTTGTTTTCCCCTTTTATGGTGATTGTATGATGAGTCAAATTACTCTTTGGAATTTCCAATTTCGAGTGCAGCACAAATTTAAGTTGATTTTATGAGATTTAGTTAATCTAGAGCTCTCTCCGATTTGATTTCTTAGAATACAAAGGAATTGATTGAATCCCAGATAACAGACATATTTCTTCGTGTGGAAATTGGGAAACAAGATGCTTTGCTTGTGAGTTTATTTGATCAAATGGTTATGAGGATAAATTGGTTTGAATCAGTTTACATGCACAAAAACCGAGAGAGAATAAAAATATATAATAATTAATGAACACCGTCATGGGTTGGCCTAGTGGTCAATTAGGACTCATTTAAATTAGACCACATTTAAATTATAAAAGACTTGGGGAGAAAGAGTTCAATCCATGATTGTCATCTACTTCAAATGTAGTATTCTAGGACTTTTCTTGGCAACCAAATGTCTCATGAGGATAGTCTAGTTGCATGCAAGTTGGTCATGATTGTCATCTACTTCAAGTAGTATTCTAGGACTTTTCTTGGCAACCAAATGTCTCATGAGGATAGTCTAGTTGCATGCAAGTTGGTCTAGACGTTACGGATATCAAAACACACACACACACACATATATAATCTTCAAGGTCTATTGATTTAGCTTGTTGTCTTCACTGGGTGGCTTTGCTTGTGAGTAATCAATCAAGTGGAAAAGAACATACTGGTTTCTTGTCTTCTGAGCAAAGCTGCCCCTTATCACGGCTCCTAACGACGTAAGGTTTTGACTTCTTAACTTACAACCATGGAATAGATTTTTCTTTTGTTTTTTTGTTTTTTTTCTTGATAAGAATATATTTCATTCTTTTGTTAAATATAAGCTACTATTGTAATTTGAATTTGTTATGCCTATAGTGTCAAAATTTTAGTAAGATGATGATTGTATTAAGAAGTGAAATTTTGGGTGCATGGGAAAACTTGGAACTGAACTGCAGATGAACACTATATTTTATGATATGACTTGATTCTCTGAAGCATAAGATCGGAAACTTTTGAAAGGCTAACACTATTTTTTTTAGGAAGAGACATAATACAATAAGATGATAGGATAAATAATGACCAGGATACATTTACATGGCAAATGGACCAGAACCAAACAACAAAAAGGCTAACACTATTTTGGATCTTGTGGATTGCCAAATTAGCATGCAATGCTATATTTAATTCACGGTTAAGATTTAAGAATTAGTGAAGTTTAAAATTGTGCCAAAAACTAGCCTTGTTGAGTTACCTGTGCAACTCTTTGTATATTTCAGGTTTTTGAACTACTTCGTGAACAATTATGGTACAGACCCTATGCCGGCATGTATATTAAGCTAATTGTTATGCTTGGAAAATGCAAGCAACCCGAAAAGGCCACCGAGTTGTTCCATGAAATGATTGATGAAGGCTGTGAAGTGAGCCAGGAATCATACACTGCTCTCTTGTCTGCCTACAGCAGGAGTGGTCTTCTTGACAAAGCATTTTCGCTTCTTGACGAGATGAGAAACAGTCCCGATTGCCAGCCTGATGTTCACACTTACTCTATCCTCATAAAATCATGTTTGCAGGTGTTTGCATTCAAAAAAGCACAAGCTCTACTCTCTGACATGGTGATTCGAGGAATAAAACCCAACACTATCACATATAATACCTTCATTGATGCTTATGGCAAAGCAAAAATGTATTCTGACTTGCCTGCCTTTTGAGAATATACTAAATGACTCATCTGGTTGCTAACTAGAGTGCTTTCTGTACAAAATGATGAATATTTCATTATTTGGTCCCTAGTTAAACCTGAGAGTTGTAGCCATAGGTAGATCATAAACTTCACTTTTAAGATGGTCTTATATCTTTTAACACCACAGTAGAACCTACCACAACCAATGCTCGTCATTCATTTCCTTGGAGTCAATTGGGATTGGGACTCAACATTGGTTATAATGTGCCTCAAGGTAGCCCTAGTGGTAAGGACTTGGGATGTGGGAGAGAATTTTTGAGGTCTTGGTTCGAGAGAGAATTTTTGAGGTCTTGGTTCAAGCTTCCATAGGGAAGGTTTAATAAATGAAAACCGTCGATGTCTCTTAGAGCTGGCATTGCAGCACATGAAGTCGAGAAAATTTTCGAGGTCCTGGTTCAAGCTTCCATGTGGAAAGCTTAATAAATGAAAATCCTTGATGTCTCCCAGAGCTGGCATTGTAGCACGTGAACTCTCCCTTAGGAGTAGTGGGGTGGGACCTATTACCATGGATGTTTATAAAAGATGCTCATAATGTCTTGTACTTGTCATGCTTGTTATTAATGTCTCTTCTCCCCTTAATCTAACCGGAAATCAATTCTCTCTCCATTGCATTCTTCTATCACATTACTGGCAACCAGATGAATGTGTCTGTTACTTCAATTTTAGAATAGTAATTATTTTTATACGTTTACGTTCTGCAGGTTTGCTGAAATGGAGTCTATATTGATGGAAATGCTGAGTGATGATGGCTGTAAGCCTGACGTTTGGACCATGAACTCGACGCTTCGAGCCTTCGGCAGTAGCGGACAATTGGAAACCATGGAGAAGTGCTATGAAAAGTTTCAGGGTGCTGGAATCCAACCAAACATTCAGACCTTCAACATCCTTCTGGATTCATATGGCAAGGCTGGAAGTTATGAGAAAATGAGTGCTGTGATGGAGTATATGCAGAAGTACCATTATTCATGGACAATTGTAACGTACAATGTCGTAATCGACGCCTTCGGGAGGGCTGGGAATTTGAAACAGATGGAGTATCTGTTTAGGCTCATGAGATCAGAGAGGATCAAACCGAGTTGTGTAACACTCTGCTCACTCGTGAGGGCATACGGCCAAGCGGGAAAACGTGAAAAAATTGATGGTGTACTGCGTATTGTAGAGAATTCCGATATAACGTTGGATACCGTTTTTTTCAACTGTCTTGTGGATGCTTACGGGCAGATGGGATGTTTTGCGGAGATGAAGAACGTGGTCGGGATGATGGAGCAGAGAGGATGCAAGCCTGATAAGACTACATACAGGACCTTGGCTAGAGCTTATTCAGATGGTGGAATGGGAAACCATGCCAGGGAAATCCAACATCTTATAAGCTCAGCAGAAGCAAGTAAGAAAACCCGACCAGACTTGTGATGTTGATTAAATTTTAGAGAAATTATATTAATATATATTTATAAAAACACCATCATCATTATTATTATTATTTTGAAAAAATGTCACAAAAGTAATTAAGTTATATCATCAATTATAGTTTAATCAAGAGAGTTATAATTCACATCTCGTTTATTAATTAAAACATTTCTTATTAATATCCATGATCCATGATTTTCATAATTGGAAAAAAAAATATAGATTTTTGCGATATTTTCATATTTTTAGATATGAGGATTAAAAATGGTAAATTACAGCCTAATTTACCCACAACCAAAGTCTCCTTCACTAATTCAATTGATTTTTTAATAATTTCCATTATTTTCATAATTTTTTTTTGCAATATGTATTGATATTGATATTTTCATCAATATTTTTGTGAAATTGAGATCTCGAAATTTTTGTCTACTTTGACAGCGTATAAGTTTTGCAATTTATGCTATTTCATAAAATTTTAAATCTGATGCTATATATAAAATACATTTGTGTTATTTTTGTAATTCTCTCTTAGATTTTATGAGAGCTCTTCCTTTTGCACCCTTTTGTAATTTGTAACTTCAAAATCTTAATAGAAGTAATTTTAACCTATTTTCAAAATCCAGCTTCAATTTTCAAGTTTTATGTTGATCGTGTTAATTCTACATCTAAATTTTATATATATACATAGTCGAACTCATGATCTCTTAGTTAGAGACTGATGACAATTACGATTGAATTAAGTTCATGTTTGCAGTGATGTATGTTGAAAGGTTAAGATTTGAAATATATATTATGAAAGAATAAAATAATATAATAGTTAAAACACCAAAAATCTAAATAATATTATTACTAAAAATCTTATTGCGCACATTGACTCAATTCTTAAAGTAGGTGACTATTATAGGGTTTGAATCCATTCTCTCTCAATTAATCCAGTCCATTTGGATCAATGAACCACTTTGAGAAGGAAAATGTTATTGAAGAAAATACATCAATAAAAATATGAAAAGCACTTCTTTCTTAACTTAAAAATTTTTCTATGAATTTTATATTTTTTATTGAAGTTTTAAATCACAATGTTTGAAGGGTCTCAATTTTGTGAAAATATTTATGAAAATCATAAAATATATATATATATATATATCACAACATGTGGAGACGAGGATCGAACTCACAAGTTTTTAATTGAATATATGTATTAATTACCGTTGGCTATCCTCACTTTATGATAGATTTATGTGTGTGGGTGTATATATATATTTAGTTATTGTGTGCATGTGTTTAAAATTTTGTTTCAATATTAGATTTGATAATTTGTAAACAAATTTCTTGATTTTTTCTACCTCAGTGATTAATACAAAAAGAAAGATCTCGAATACAACGATTTTTCAGGCGTATAGAGAATGATATGAACAATAGGGTCCGTGAATCTTGCTCAACCACCACAAACATGATTGTTGGTATTTTAACTACTTTTAACCTTTTGTTCTTCAAAATAAAAAAGTAAGAACATGTATTATAACATTTTTTCAAGGATAAAAAATATCTAATAGCTATTACATTCTAACCTTTGCAGTGAATTAAAACTTATAAGAGAATATGACTACTTCATCTTCCTCGTAGATGATTGCTCAAAATATGAATATTTTTAACTAGTGCGAATATAAGTATGAAGCTCATAATTTTTTTTTATAAGATTAGAGTAGAAAACCAATCGAGTAAGTATATCAAAACACTACGACGATATTATGAGAGGGAGTAAATATATGATTAGTGTTACAACATATACAGAAAGCCAAGATTGTATTCCAATTTTTAACAACAAAAAAACATCTCAATAGAATGGTATTATCGAGAGGAGATTAATTTGAGAATTAATCTATTGAACACAATCCATCGAATGATGAGTAATGTTCCAATATCATACTCTCAATTTGAGGATATATAGTGGCGGTTGCATTATATATATTGAAGGTATAGTTGGCTCTAAAAATGTCTCCTAGCGCACCTATCTAACTATTGAAGAGTTGTAAAACTAGTTTATAACACTTGAGAGGATGGTTGACGACATTTATGCTAATGACAAATCCAAAAAGTTGGAATCTCGTTTTAAAGAATGCTTATTTGTATGATTTTCCTAGAGAGATGTGAGTTGATATTTTTTATAGTGAGAAGGATCTCGAGGAGGACCACATGAGATCGAGATCGTAAACCTTGTAGCAACATATTGTTAAATTGATGCTTCCTAGTTAATCAGTAATATGTCAACAAAAGTAGTTTACAATTCATAGATGAATCCCAAGATTAACCCAACCGGGCTTGACTGAAGCCTTACGTGCTATAATGGAGATCCTATTTCGTTTCATATTTCTAAACATATATGAGAATTTCCATTTCTTCAACTAGTACCGATGAATGGGAGAAAGACATACGTGGATTAGTACAATTATTGGTAGCATCATATTCAGGATTCCAAAGAATTTTGTACCGGGTGACTCCCTAAGCAAACAATAAGTAAGAGTCCACATATGACACTGAGAAACTATTGGCTTTTAAAGAAGCGTCACAAAGATGAATGCATGAATCAAAGTCACGGAACTATCTACTCCAACTTAATTTTGGAACTTATAAGATTTTTTTAATGGGTAAATCCATAAGTTTCAAATCCTCTCTTGTTTGTGTAGAAATCCTTGTGATTCATGGAATAATGCAAGATTCCTTTCTAACATAAAAAGTTGACTGGCTTAACTAATTCTAATTAAAAGATTTGGAGAGAACAATATATTTTAGGGATCTAGATAGTAAAAACAAAATGTTACCACATCTTATATATGGACACTATTTTAGTTGAATATTTAATTAAAATTATAGATAGAGTAACTTATCTCTATTAAAAAAAAGTATTTTCTAATCCAATATAACTAAAATAACTTTAAAAGTACTTTTTCATAGCATTATGAGATGAATAATAATACTAAGAGCAATCCTAATATTATATAATTATTATTGAATTTTTAAATGAGCGTAAGATTCCAAACCATTTTTTTTAGGACACAAATAATTTAATAGCTCACATTTTATTTTAGGACTTTGTAGGTATGACATATCATATTACTTGGAAAATTAATTTGATTTTAATATTAAAATATTACTTTTGCTTTAAAGAATGATAGGATTAATATATTGGAGTGAGATGAATTAATGTCCATTTGTGTATGATAAAATTTTAAGTGTAACTATAAATAACTCAAGACATTAGATTTTTATTAATATTATTAATGACAGAGATGTTGATGAGTTTTCGACTTAAAATCTGAAGATTTTAAAATAAAAAGAATTTTGTAAGAAAGTTAAAATATTGTTTAAAAATTACAATTATTCTAAAATATTTCCAATTTTATTTAATTATTCATAATGTAGAAGACGAAAGTGCTTGAATTCGATGTGTATTGATTATATTAAAGTTAATACTTTGAGATATAAGGAAAATATAAAGAGAAAATAAAAATTTGTTTATAAAAATTAAAAATAAAAAAAAAGCCCAAAAAGGATGGCCATATTTTGAAAGGCCCCTTCGTTCATCGTCTTCTCCATGTCCAGCCCACTAGTCGCAGAGGTCGCATAGTCCCCCATTTTCAACTCCATCGAAACCAACCTCGACGTCGGAGACTCAGTGTGACAGAAATTAGGGACAAATAGGGTTTCACAACGATGCTTCATGGCTGACATTTGCAGGAACGTGCTGGGTTCTCGGCCAATTTTCCTTCAATTTTGATTCACCCAACTTTTCCCTCCTGCAAAACCCTAGGGCACACCAAGCTGAGGGAACCAACTCTCACAATTACCCACCTGCCTTCCAATTTCTCCACTCCCTTCCAAATTCAGGTGATT